CTTGAGGCTAGCTTTTCCTGTTTGGGTTCCCTGCCTGAAGCTGGAAGGTAAAAACCCCTTTATCGCCTCTCCCTCCCTTTGTGGTCTGGCTCGGTGTCTGACTTGCGCCTTTGTCCTAAACGGAGACTGGCCGCCAAAAGAAATCAAGGATTCCACCCAGACAGGGTGAGCATGTAGGTTACGCTCCGTGCTGACTGAAGGATGACAAATCACGCAGGTCTGCCGAGTCAGAACAAAGGGACAAAACTAGCGGGTCTTCAAAACGTCCTGTTCCCTCGCCGTCACTTTCCCTCCTGAGGAAGCAGGGGTCGCCCGAGGTGGAACACTTCAGAGGCTGAGGCAGGTGGGAGCCATCCCCGCAGGGACCTGGCCTCGCAGCGCCAACTTCTGCCTCCGGGGACCAGAGAGGGATCTGAACGCTCAAGGAGGCTGAGTCCTCCGTCCCAAGTGGGTCACGGAGCTGCTCGAACAGATTTCATTATCAAATGGGAAGCTGGCACCCGGCCCAGCCCACGATGGGAAGTTAATGGACTATTTCTCATCCGGGCCTTTGGAGCACATGGCGATGCCAGGAACAGGGAGGCAGGCCACGGTGTTAAGTGGAATAAAAAATTGCCACGTTTTGTTTTTGTTTTTGTTTTTTTGCTGAAACCGGTTTGGCTCAGTGGATAGAGCATCGGCCTGCGGACTGAAAGGTCCTGGGTTCAATTCCGGTCAAGGGCATGTACCTTGGTTGCAGGCACATCCCCAGTAGGGGGTGTGCAGGAGGCAGCTGATTGATGATTCTCTCTCATCGATGTTTCTAACTCTCTATCCCTCTCTCTCTTCCTCTCTGTAAAGAATCAATAAAATATACTTAGTTATAACCAAAAAGCAAAGGAACAATAAATTGAGACTAACTCTGAGTTCACTTTAAAAAAAAAAAAAATTGCCACGTTTTGGCAGAGAGTTAACTTTCAGACACCCTCACCCGGTGCTCATGAAGATGCATATGTAAAAAGACGGTTGAGAGCCTCCAGCGTACGGCGCCTGGTTCTTACATGGATGCCTGGACACCCCGTGGACTTTCTGCTCTTTGCCCTGAGTTGTTACAGCAACTGGACTATTGGCCTTGCTGTCAGTCTTTTATCCTGCCAACGAGGTGTCCGTCTCCAGTGTGGTGCTGGCCTGCAGGTTATGGGGGCAGAATAGAGATCTGTGTGTGGTCAACTTCAACAAGGTGCCAAGGAGATTCAATGGGGACATGAAAGTCTTTTCAGCAAATGGCGTCACAACAACAGGATATCCACATGGGAACAAAATCGATATCAAAGCTTGCACCACACATAAAAATGAACTTGGTTTGGATCATACATGTACCTGTAAAAGCTAGTGGGAGGCAAAGGGGATTTTTACAAAAATATATTTTATTGATTTTTTACAGAGAGCAAGAGAGAGGGATAGAGAGTTAGAAACATCGATGAGAGAGAAACATCGATCAGCTGCTTCCTGCACACCCCCACTGGATATGTGCCTGCAACCAAGGTACATGCCCTTGACCGGAATCGAACCCGGAACCCTTCAGTCCACAGGCTGACGCTCTATCCACCGAGCCAAACCGGTTTCGGCCAAAGGGGATTTTTAAGGGAGTACAACAAATCTATGCTATGACCATGGTGGGGACATGTCATTATACATTTGCCAAAAACCAAGGACTCCACAGTCATGAGAATGAACCCTGATGGCAATGATGGGCTTTGGGTGGCAGGATGAGTCAGGGCAGGCCCAAGAGTTGTAACAAATGCCTGGCTCAGTGGGGGGTGTGGGGGTGGGGCAGCTGTGAGTGTGGAGGGACAGAGGTGTATGGGAACTCTCTACTTTCTGCTCAGTTTTGCTGGGAACCTACATCAGCTCTGAAAAATAAAATAAACTTTAAAAAATATTTTTATTTATTTCAGAGAGGAAGGGAGAGGGAGACAGAAACATCAATGATGGGAGAATTATTGATTGGATGCCTCCTGCACACCACGCAATAGGGAATGAATCCATAGCCGGGGCACATGTCTGGACTGGAAATTAAACCTTGATCTCCTGGTTCATAGATTAGCGTTCAACCATTAAGCCACACCAGCTGGGCCGTAAAGTCTGCTTTTAATAAGGTAACTCTAATCCTTCCAGCTCTTAAATTTTATTATTCCAAATGTTTTTAAGGATAAAACAATTACTGGTCATTGATCTTTTTTTTTTAATATATTTTATTGATTTTTTACAGAGAGGAAGGGAGAGAGATAGAGAGCTAGAAATATCGATGAGAGAGAAACATCGACCAGCTGCCTCTTGCACACCTCCTACTGGGGATGTGCCCACAACCAACGTGCATGCCCTTGACCGGAATCGAACCTGGGACCTTTCATTCCGCAGGCTGATGCTCTACCACTGAGCCAAACCGGTTTCGGCTGGCCATTGATATTTAAAATCAGTTTTAAAGTTTGTTTTGAGTCTCAAAACCCAGTTAAACATTTTTAAAAATATATTTTATATTTATTTCAGAGAGGAACGGAGAGGGAGAGAGAGATAGAAGCATCAATGATTTGAGAGAATCATTGATTGGCTACCTCCTGCAAACCCCCATTGGGGATCAAGCCTGCTCCCTGGTCATGTACCTTGCACAGAATTGAACCTGGGACCATTAGGTCCACAGGCCAATGCTCTATCCACTGAGCCAAACCACATAGGGTAAACATTTTTTAAAAAGATTCTCATGCATCTTTAAATACTAAATTTTCTATATAACTCTATTTTTTAATAATATATTTAATGATTTCAGGAAATGGGAGAGTGAAAGAGTGATGGAAACATTAACGATGTGGGAGAATCATTGATTAGCTGCCTCCAGGATGCACTTGATGAGGGATCAGCTTGCAATCGCAGGCAGGTGCCTAACCAGGAATGGAACCATGACCTCCTGATCCAGTTTCATACTCAACCAGTAAGCCACACTGGCCAGACTCTCTTTTCGTTTTAAAAAGAAGTTTATAGTATTTACATAAATCACAACAAAAACATTTATACTCATTAGCATCTACGTATTACCAGATTTTAAAAACACTCAATAGCATAGCCTTGCTTGAAATTCTAACATGTCACCTGGTCTGACCAGCAGGTGACACACAAATCCCGAGGCCTGGCCATTTCACCTGATAATCACCAGGGATGTATCCACTCTTTTCACTGTAACCATACCCCTGCCCACTCCTCTCAACTTCCCCACCTCCATGCTGACGGCTATAGCTGTTTGGGTGAAGCAGGATCAGGAGGGCCCATGCAGAGGCTGAGTCCCACTGGGCGCCCCGTGCTGGACTCTCTTCCCTGGAGAGCAGGAGACTGAGGGGCAAGAATGCTGGGGGCTTCTGCTGGGAGGGGAAAGAGGAAAAACCCATTTACTGTCTCTTACTCTACGCTAGGCCCACCGCCAAGCCCTCAACATGCATTGTCTCCTTGGATCTACAAGCATCCACTAAGCTGGGTGAGCACCATGTCCTCATCTGACAGGGGAACTGAGGTTCTTGCCTGAGGTCCCTCCACCCAACAGCACCCCTCCTCAGCGTGGGTCTTATTAGAGTGCCTTTGATAAGGGTCCCTGTGAGGGGTTAATTTTATGTGTCAACTTGACCTGAGGTCGTCCAACTTTTGGACCTCATGGACCACCAGTTGGTGACGGCTGAACCTGATGTCACTATGGGTTGCTCAGGTAGATAGTAAAACCTGAGTGTGAATGGACCAAGTGAGCTCTTGATTCAGCACACGAGTAAGGAGATCATACAGTGCAACTGGGCTTCCTCCAATCTCTTGGGGGCCCAAGTGGAATAGAAAGAGGAAGGAATAATTCTCTCTTCTTTGATTTTAGCTGATGGTGAACATGGGTTCCTGGTTGTCAGGGCATCAAACTCCTGGTTGTGCACCAGCTGCCCTTTATTCTCAGGCCTATGGGCTCAGACTGAGGGTTAAGCCATGGGCTCCCCTAGTTCTCAGGCCTTTGGACTTGGCCTGAGCTATTCCATTGGCTTTGTAGGTTCTCCAGCTTGCAGAAAACAGGTATTGGGACTGAAGGCTGGCGCCTATCCCTGTAAATCTCCTACCTGTGTCCTTGTGTCCTTGTTGGCTATTCAGGGGCACACTACCTAATACAGCGACTGAGCACAGAGAAGAAGTTCACTCATTTGTGCAGTGTGTCTGCTCCCCTTCCTGACAGGCTGATTCCAGAACACGTTCTCTGGTCTTGCTCCATAGGGAGGCGGTAGGTGTAATGGGTATAAGCCAACCCCCCATGAGGCTGACAGGCATGGGCTAGGTGCACAGCAGCATGGTTCCTCTGCATATGGATGAACCCTTCTGGAAGTGGGGGCCCTGCCTTGTCCCTGAACCCCTCCTGGCACAAGGTCTGAAACTTGTGGGTCAACCTGGAGCACCATGAGGAACACTCGAATCCAGGGTCAGAGCCAGCAGCCCGGTCTCCTTCACCTCAGGGTTGGTGGGCCACCTAGCATGGCCCATTGTATCCACCCACTGAGCAGCCACAAGGAGGTCAGACAGGCCCAGAGAGAAGAGAAGGCCTGGAGGGAGTGTAACACGGTGCCGAGCGCTGCAGCCAAACCACATCCCATCACTCCAGGTTCTGACCCTGAGCCCTCCCCACCTTTTTTCATCAGTGACTACAGGATCCTGAGGTGTAAACTGCAGAGACAGGTGAATACAAGCAAGAGGACCAGAAGGTTGCCTTTGAAATTGTCTTTATTTCTGATCATTCCTTTACAATCATCCACCCCAGGATTCACTCCCACACAAGAAGCTCAAGCCCCAATTCTGCCCCCCCCCCCCACGCAAATGAGATTCATGTTTCCGGTTGTAGGACACTTTGCCTTTGAGATCCCAATAACTCCCCGTCTTTGCCCCTGCAATCCTGTTTCCTGGTTGTGTCCCTCCCTTTCCTCATTCACACTGAGCGTGAACCTGAAACCCCAATCCAAGGTTTCAGCTTCCAAAGGCCCAGAAAGAAGCCTTTGCTGGGTCCACCCACTGAGCAGGGTCCATACAGGGGAACAGCACGGGCTCCCAGTCATGAAAATGTAACTTCATAAAACTCGATGTAGCCCCTGTCGGTGGCAAGCTTGATGGCCCTGGGCTGTCCTAACTCCCTCAGAATCCCCTTCAGCTCAGCCCGGACCAGGGCGAGTCTGTCCCAGTTGACAGTGCCCAGGGTCGTGTAACACTCCCGTGGGACCGGGTAATACTCATAGTCTAAGCTGCGCAGCCCGGCTGTGTGGCGCAGCAGCTTCTCCACGGTGGCCACAGAGAGGCGGTTCTTCCTGAGGGTGAACTCTCTCAGCTGGTGACAGCGGCTCAGGACAGGCAGGATGGCTTCCACTTGAGAGTCCACCATGGCACAGTTCTCGAGGTACAGTTCCTGGAGGGTTGGTGCCAATGCCTCCAGCAGAGCTCGGAGTGGCTCAGGACTAAAATCAGCGAGGCTGGCACAACACAGACGCAGGGACTTTAGCTGCCTGAGGTGCGGGCACTGGAATAGGTGTTCCAGGTCTGAATGGGTAAGGCGCCGGCAACGATTTATGAGGAGTTTTTCCAAGGGGGACTGCAGGCAACTGGAGAGACACAGAAAGGTTAGTTCCAGGAATGGGGGTGGCAGGTAGAGGAGTTGCAGAGGGCAACCAATCATCTCTCTCTCACTATGTATTTATCTTCCATTCTCTTCCCTTCCATTTGACTCTATAAAAATCAAAGGGTATAAATATTCTCCTTTGATGATTTTTTAAAAAGGGAGAGAGTAAACCAGAGGAAGATTCTGCAACATCAACTGGGGAGGTCAGTGTGCAGAGGCGACTTCCATCCATACGTCACCGCAAACTACTGGTCACTCTGCAATCCTGTCCGCTCTCACTCCCTTAGATGAGGAACCATGCCTGTCCTTTCTACTAATGACCTTCCTGGTACTGAGAACCATCTCTGACAGATGGGGAATCTAACACAGGCTCACGTGTTTTCATGTGGCTGGTGACCCAGAGCTTATGTCTCAAATGCTCTATCTGATGTGATTTACCTCCTTCCAACCCTCCTCCTAAGGCCTCATAACTTAGACATCTGTCCCTAAGGAAGAATTTACACACCCAGGATCACTGGGTCCCTCATTGAGCCAGTTCTGTTACCCTGTTTCCCTGAAAATAAGACAGTGTCTTATATTAATTTTTGCTCCCAAAGATGCGCCAGGTCTTATTTTCAGGGAATGTCTTATTTTTCTATGAAGAAGAATACTGTACACATTTATTGTTAAATGAAAATAAAGGAAATGTATTACCTGTATACGGTACGGTAGTATGGTAGTTGTCAACACAAACCAGACAAACTGTGAATCCTACATTATCAAGAATTTACTCATCTATTCAATGACAGTCATCTTCTGGAACATCATCCTAACAATCCAATTCCTGAATTTCCTGGTGAATTTCTTGTGACTCCATTTCTTTCAGAATCAGTGGACCAAATCTCTCATGTTTAGCCTAAGGGGGCCTTATTTTCAGGGGATGCCTTATATTTCACTCAGAAGGAAACCTGTAAGTAGGTCTTATTTTCAGGGAAACACGGTACCCATCCCGACAGGCTGATTTTAAAACATGTTCCTTTGGGTGCTCACAGGATATCACCCTCAAAGCATCTAACAACACCACTTCCTTTACATTCTAACGCTGTGTACAGTGCTAAACTGCTCACCTGAGCATCTGGTGCAGACGGCCTCGGAGGAAGGAGGGAGAATCCAGGACCAGCTCGCGGAGGTGCAGTGGGCTGAGCATCTGAGAGAAAAACTGGAAAAAGGATATCTGTTCCTCTTGCTCCTCCCTCGCCCACTCCTCTTCCCAATCCAATTCCTCTTCCTCCTCCAAATCCTGCTCATCATCATCCTCCAATTCCAGTTCATCATCTTCCAAATCCTGCTCATCATCCTCCCAATCCAGTTCCTCTTCCCAATCCAGCTCCTCTTCCTCCTCTTCCTCGTATTCCTCCTCCTCCTCCTCTTCACCCAGCACTTGGATGTGGAAGAGAAAGAGTTTCTGCAGGTTCCCCATCTGCCCCATATAAAGAGCAAACGTCCCCAGGGTGGGCAGGTCCCAGGTGCAGCTCAGGTCCACCTGCTGGATGCAGTCCAGCTGCACCGCATCCAGGACCTTCCTCACCCTGTAGAAGGGCACCGCAGCAATCCTCAGCGTCTTGCAGCACAGGTGTAGCAGCCCTTCCCTCTGCTGGGCCCATTGGATGACGTACATGAGAAACTCTTCCCTGTTCTTTTCATTAAAGTTAAGGTCTAGGAACACCTCCACGGGAGCTAAGGGGTGCTCCATGTTGGGGCTGGACCTGTGCTCAGTCACTGGAAAAATCGGTGAGTACTTCTGGGTGCTGTCTCCACACCATATTTTCCAGAAGTTGGGAGCCATGTACCTTAAATCCAGCACCCGCAGTTTGCACCTCCTGTGGGGAAAGCAGGACATAAGCTGATATTCTTTCAGGTCAACAGGGCATTGGCTGACATGCTGTATGGACAGTGTGTCTCAGTGGTTGAGCATCTACCTATGAACCAGGAGGTCACAGTTCAATCCCTGGTCAGGATACATGCCTGGATTGCATGCTCCATGCTTAGGGTATGGTGTGTGTGTGTGTGTGTGTGTGTGTGTGTGTGTGTGTGTGTGTGTATAGGAGGCTGCTGATCAATAATCCTCTCTCATCATTGAGGCTTCTATATTTCACTCGCCCTTCTTCTCTGAAATCAAGTAAAAAATGAGGGCAGGTCAGAATGAGACTATGCATCTGAGTTGAGGTAACAACCAGACTCTACCCTTAGCCTGACTTTAACTTTGATTCTCAAGGTCAGCATCTCCCTTGGCTCCTGCTTTGCTTTGCTCCTCTCCTTCCATCCCTCCTGCTCTGCACTTCGTGTACCTTTAACTACCACTGGGAGGAGGCAGGGTACAGTTTGGAGGTGCCGCTGCCCAGTAGGCAGTGCTCCCTACCCTCACAGGCACCTTCAGAAAACTTGGGTCCCCCTTAGGCCCTCCACATGCTCTGACCCCCTTTGTCTCCAAGGTGCCCAAGACCCTCCCAAGTACCAGGAGCAGCCTTACCTGAGGCGAACATCCTGGGCAAGCACAACGTCAAGCCCATCCAACACGGCTTTGAAGACCTCATCCAGTGACAGGTGTGGCAGACCGCCCAGAGGGAGGACAGTGAAGGGCCAGGCTTGTGTGATCGCCTTCAGGACCTGGTGGCGTCTACTTCGGTAGGCCTGAATGAACAGCTGCGGGAAGAGCTCAGCGGGCAGGTACTCCAGAGCTGCGATGGCCAAGGCCTGGTCCCTCAGCAGGCTCTCTGCTGCCAGCTGCAGGAGTGTGGGTGGGCTCCTGATGCTCATCCTCAAGGTGCTCCAAAGGAATCCTGTGGGAAAGTCCAGGGAACAAGACATTCTTGTCAGGCCAAGCCTTTGAGCCCCATCCTCTGACTCCCCATTTTCACAGGAATAAACTCAGGGCCAAAGCCACTGCCTGGCAATGGTGTGAGCCTCAGTTTAGAGAGTCCCATTCCGGGCTAGGTGACCACACAGCTCCCCTGCAGGCCCCAGGACAAGCATCTCAGAAGCACCCACATTTTCATTCCAATCTGTCTGGGAAGTGGGTGCAAAGGGCCTGAAAACTGACCCCCACCTTTTTTAGGGGAAATTTCAGACCAGTATATGGACACAAACTCAATATTTAAAATTTCCAGAAATAAAATGTTTATTTTATTAAGATGTTTTCATTAGGGGCTTGGATTGAGGAGGGGTGTCAGGGAATAAATTTAGATACACCTTTAAAATAGGTCAAAGCTCAAGTCCAAATTTTGAAATTCAGGAAAAACTACACTAAGAGGCAAACTCAATGCCTTCAATCAGTTAAAACAACAGCAAGAAAAGAGAAAGGTGTGCCAACCTGAGATCAGCTGCCTTAGCTGAGGCCGGTAATTTACCTGCTGTGACTGGCTTGCCTGGGGCTCAGATCTCAGACCTGCTGGAAAACGTGTGCACTGACTGCAGAGCTGGAAGTCTCTGAATCTCTCCTCTGGTGCCTGAGGATTTTATACACCTTCTTAAACGCTAGAATCCAATCAGGACCCTCAGTCTCCCACCCTTAATCCCAATGGGATTATTGTCTCCCTTCAGATGAATGGATTGAGGAAAGTTAGGGAAGGGCAGGGTGGAGGCCTGGCTTATTGATCCCTGTGGTGGGCATTTTCTCTGTTTTCCCCGTCCTGCACACCAGGTTCCTGAATGGAGGATCTGGGGATTAAGAAATTAGAGAAAGCGCTGAAGCCGGTTTGGCTCAGTGGTAGAGCTTCGATCTGCGGAGTGAAAGGTCCCATGTTTGATTCCGGTCAAGGGCATGTACCTTGGTTGCAGGCATATCCCCAGTAGGGGGTGTGCAAGAGGCAGCTGATTGATGACCCTCTCTCATCGATGTTTCTAACTCTCTATCTCTCTCCCTTCCTCTCTGTACAAAATCAATAAAATATATTAAAAAAAAAAAAAGATCTGGGTAAGTCAGGTCCTATTTGTTCCTCCTTCCAAGCACATTGATAAAGATAAACATATCAATACTGATAACAGGATTCTGCCAGTGCCCTCGGGCTCAGCTGATAAGAACTAAAAGAATGTCCATGTGCCTTCTCAGATGGCTCTCTACAGATCCCTTCCACAGAAACTGACTGAGGTTGACTAATGGTCCATAGCTTCATCATCTGTGTGAGACAGTGGAGGTGTCATGGGTTCCTGATGTTAAATAGGAAAGAGAAAAACCTAAAAGCATGGTTGCTGGGGGTCTTTGGCTACTTCAAAGTTATCAGAACATTGCAGAGTTAAAACATCCTTAGAAGACACTGGTGCCATCCTCAGGAGAACAAAGGAAATGTGTCCAGGCATCAAGTTCGGTTTTATGGTAGGTGACATAGCAGATTATGAGCTCCTCAGAGAGGAACTGGTGGACAACTGAGGATGTGGCTGTCCTAGACCCCAAGGCTTCTCTCAGGGAGGTCAGGACAGAAAAGTGTGACAAACAGGGGTCAGGGCTGGGCAGGGTGGCGCTGGGCCATCCTAATGGGACCCTGTGAATGACCCAGGGCCATGGGAAGGTAGGGGTTTGTCTTGGAAAGAAGAGAGATGGAAAGACTCTTCTCTGGGTAAATTCAGGATCTAAAAGTAGACAAGCTGGAGGGGAGGCAGTGCCATCCTAAAGGGCAAAGGGAGTGATTCCATCTTCTGTCCCGCCCAGGAGGAAAAGGGTGGGTCTGCTCTGGGGAAGATGGGATTAGCTCAGCATCTGGGTGGGGAAGATTAAATATAAGAATGTGAGCAAAAAGGAAAGGGAGCAACATTGGGAGTTAGACATTTTCAAGCCCAAAAGGCATTCTGGCTGGATGCTGTGGGCTCTTTGGGATGTTGGAGCCAGGGACAGAAATAAAAGTTGGCCAATCACATGCAACCCTGTCAACATCATGGCAGCTGCCACCAGGTGATGTTTATCAAAAGGAAGAGGTTCCTCCCCAGAGAATACTTCGTGGATAACAAGTGCCTTCCTGGACTACACTGTGTCTCCATTGGCCCCATTCCTGCCCTCATGACACAACTTCACTTATTCACACCTCCAATGATCTCCCTTATGACCACCAGCACCTAAGTCCCCACTTCAGTAACCCTGACCCCAATATCGCTCTGTTCTGCATTGTGGTGTGCAGAACCAGAGGCACTGTGAGGCCAGGCAGCAATCATGGGTCCTTAGACATCCACAAATGAATAGGTGGCCCTCGGCGGTGTGAGGAAGGCCAGCTGTGGCCAGCCCATTGCTGCCACATTGAGTTCCTGGCCTGCACAGCCTTCCTCCAGGCCCCCAACCTTCTCCTGTCAGTCACTCACCCCACAGATTCCCCTGAGCACCCAGTGTGTGTGCCAAGCTCTGACTCTGGGGAACTGAGTCACATTGAAAAGATTCTGAGTGAGGACAGGAGGCACCAGAGTGAGTGCTGAGGCCTGTGGCTGAGCTCTCCTGGAAATGGACAGCACAACCCAGGCTGCCTCCACTAGGAACCAAAGGATTTGTCTGCAGTTAAAACACCTGCAACCACACAGCTGTGGGTACCAGGATGTGTCAGTGCAGGTCCAACAGTTGTAACAAATGCCTGGCCCAGTGGAGGCGGGGAGGGCATGGAGAATGGGGCGGCTGTGAGTGTGGAGTGGCAGAGGTGTATGGGAACTCTCTACCTTCTGCTCAATTTTGCTGGGAACTTAAATCTGCTCTAAAAATTAAAAGCCACTTTTCAAAATATTTTTATTTATTTCAAAAAGGAAGCGAGAGGGAGAGAAAGGCATCAATAAAGTGAGAGAATCATTGATTGGCTACCTCCTGCAAACCCCCTAACTGGGGATTGAGTCCACAAACAGGCATGTGCCCTAGAACAGAATGAACATGGGACACTTCATTAGACACTCTATCCACTGAGCCAAACTACCTAGGACAAACTTTAAAAACAAAAACAAAAAAACATCCCCATGGGAAAACAATATGGCATTTCCTCAAAAATTTTAAAATGAAACTGCCATTTGACTCAATTCTCCTACTTCTAGGAATATATTCCAAGAAAACAGAAACACCAGTCAGGGGGGGTATATGCAGCCCTAGGTACATGGCAGCACAATCTACAATAGCTAACATTTGGAAACAGCATCGGCAGATGAGTGGATTGGAAAACAGTGATACATCTACACAATGAAATACTAGGCTGCGGTAAAAAAGAAGGAATTCTTACCATTTGCAACAGCATAGATTGAACAGGAGATCATTACGCTAAGTGAAATAAACCAATCAGAGAAAAAGAAATATCACATGATCTCACTCATTTGTGGAATATAATGAACACCATAACCTGATGAATAAAAATAAAACTAGAGTCACAGAAGCATCAAACAGACTGTCCAACTTATGAAGGAAGGCAGGGGTAAGGGGGTAAGAGATTGATCAATCAAAGGACTTATATGCATGCATATTAGCATAAGCACAAGAGAAAGTAGAGGAGTGAGGGTGGTAAAAGAGAAATCAATGAAGGAAAAAGAAGTCTTGTGTAATGTTTTAAATAAGAAAGAATTAAAAATATATAAAATGTCCCCTTGCACACTTTAAAATACTAAATTTCATATTTCATCCTATTTTATTTTATTTTTATATTTTATTGACTTCAGAAAAAGAGAACGGGAGAAAGTGATGGAAATATTAATAGTGAGGGAGAATCACTGATTGACTGCCTCCCAAATGCCCCCTAGTAGAGATCCAGCCCACATACCAGGCATGTGCCTAACCAGGAATGGAAACTTGACCTCCTAATTCATAGTTCAAACTCAACCTTTGAGCCATAGCAGGCATATTCCTTAATCACTTTACTAGGCAGTTTATATAATTAACATTTACATAACTCACAACTAAAATATTTATACTCAAACGCCGAGACCGGTTTAGCTCAATGGATAGAGCGTCGGCTTGGGGACTGAAGGGACCCGGGTTCGATTCCGGTCAGGGGCATGTACCTTGGTTGCGGGCATATCCCCAGTAGGGGGTGTGCAAGAGGCAACTGATCGATGACTCTCTCTCATCGATGTTTCTAACTCTCTATCTCTCTCCCTTCCTCTCTGTACAAAATCAATAAAATATATTTAAAAAATAAAAATAAAAAAAAATAAAATATTTATACTCAAATAGCATTTACCTAAAAGCAGATTTTATAAACACTTCCCAGCATAGACCTGCTTGGAACACTAACACGTCACCTGATCTGACCAGCAGGTGGCGCACAAAACCTGAGGCCTGGCCATTTCTCCTGATAATCACCAGGGATGAATCCACTCTTTTCACTATAAGTCCACCCTACAACCCAATTTCCACTCATACCCAACAACCCATAGCTGACTGTCAGCTGTTTGGGTGAAGCAGGATCAGGGGGGCCCCATGCAGAAGCTGAGTCCCACCGGGCGCCCTATGCTGGGCTCTCTTCCCTGTCCTCAGGAGGAGAGCATGAGACTGAGGGGCAAGGATGCTGGGGGCTTCTGCTGGGAGGGGAAAGAGGAAAAACCCATTTACTGAGCTCCTACTCTATGCCAGGCCCACCGCCAAGCCCTCAATATGCACCGTCTCCTTGGATCTTACAAGCATCCTCTAAGCTGGGTGAGCACCATGATCCTCATCTGACAGGGGAGCTGAGGTTCTTGCCTGAGGTCCCTCCACCCACCAGCACCCCTCTTCAGCGTGAGTTTTATTAGAGTGCCCTTTAATTAGGGTCCCTGTGAGGGGTTAATTTTATGTGTCAACTTTACCTGAGGTCATCAAACTTCTGGACCTCACGGACCACCAGTTGGCAACCACTGAACTTGATGGCGCTAAGGGTTGACCAAGTAGCGGGTAAACCATTCTGGGTGTAAATTGCCCGGGTGAGCTTTTGATTCAGTAGATGAGTAAGGAGATCTTACAGTGCAGCTGGGCTTCCTCCAATCTCTTGGGGGCCCAAGTGGATTAGAGAGAGGAAGGAAGGATGAATTCTCTCTTCTTTGGTTTTAGTTGATGGTGAACATAGGTTCCAGGTTGTCAGGGCATCCAACTCTTGGGTGTGCACCAGCTGCCCTTTATACTCAGGCCTATGGCCTCACACTGGGGTTTCCCATATGGGCTCCCCTGGTTCTCAAGCCTAACTTGGACTTGGCCTCAGTTATACCATTGGCTTTGTAGGTTCTCCAGCTTGCAGAGAACAGATATTGCGACTGAAGGCGGGAGCCTATCCTTATAAATCTCCTACCTGTGTCCATGTGTCCCTGTTGGCTATTCGGGAGCAAACTACCTAATACAGCGACTGAGCACAGGGAAGAGGCTCACACATTTGTGCAGTGTGTCTGCTCCCCTTCCTGACAGGCTGATTTCAAAACATGCTCTCTAGTCTAGCAGGAGGTGTAATGGGCCTAAGCCAACCCCCCCATGGATATGACCTGCCCCCGCTTGCCAGGTTATATTTTATGTGGTGTACGAATCCTCAGAAAATGTATTTTGCTCAAAGGAATTTGGACAATTTTCCTGGCCATCAGCAGGTTATTCCTCTGTACAGGGCTGACAGGCATGGGCTGGGTGGCCCAAGGACTTGGTGCCTCTGCAGCGTGGACAAGCCCTTCTGGAACTGAGGGCCATGCCTTCTCCCTGAACCCCTCCTAGCACGAGTCCTGACATTTGTGAGTCCACCTGCAGACCCATAGGGAACACTGGCATCCAGGATCAAAGCCAGCAGAGAGGTCCCCTTCACCTCAGGGGTTGGTGGGCTACCTAGCAAGTCCCATTGTATCCACCCACTGAGCAGCCACAAGGAGGTCAGACAGGCCCAGAGAGAAGAGAAGGCCTGGAGGGAGTGTAACATGGTACTGAGCAATGCAGCCGAACCACATCCCAGCAGTTCCAGGTTCTGACCCTGAGCCCTCCCCACTTTTTTTCATCAGTGACTACAGAGTCCTGAGGTGTGAACTGCAGAGATAGGAGAACTCAAGCAAGAGGACCAGAAGGTTGCCTTTGAAATTGTCTTTATTTCTCATCATTCCTTTACAATCATCCACCCCAGGATTCACTCCCACACAAGAAGCTCAAGCCCCAATTCTGCCCCCTCCCCACGCAAATGAGATTCATGTTTCTGATGGTAGGACACTTTGCCTTTGAGGTCCCAATAACTCTCCGTCCTTTGTCCCTGCAATCCTGTTTCCTGGCTGTGTCCCTCCCTTTCTCCATTCACACTGAGCATGAACCTGAAACATGGGGTGGCCCCTGTATAGTGCCCCCAGGTCCGAGGTTTCACCTTCCAAAGGCCCAGAAAGAAGCTCAGGTGCACCCACTGAGCAGAGTCATTACAGGGGCACAGAACAGGCTCCCTGGCATGAAAATGCCACATCATAATATTCCCTGTAGCCACTGTGCTTGGTGACAAGCAGGATGGACCTGGGCTGTCCTAACTCCCTCAGTATTCCCGTCAGCTCAGCTTGGATAGCGTCAAGTCTCTCCTGGTTGACAGTGTCCTGGGTCGTGTAACACTCCAGGGGGACGGGGTACAGCTCCATCTCTAAGCTGCGCAGCCTGGCTGTGTGACGCAGCAGCTTCTCCACGGTGGCCAAAGACAGGCGGTTCTCAGAGATGGTGAAGAAACTGAGCTGGTGACAGCGGCTCAGGACAGGCAGGATGGCCTCGATTTGGGAGTCCACCATGGCACAGTTATCGAGGCCCAGGTCCTGGAGGGTGGGTGCCACAGCCTCCAGCAGAGCTCGGAGGGGCTCAGGACTAAAGTCAGCGAGGCTGACACAATACAGACGCAGGGACTTCAGCTGCCTGAGGTTCGGGCACTGGAACAGGTGTGTCAGGTCTGAATGGGTCAGGCGCTGGCAATGACTTATGGCAAATTTTTCCAAGGGGGTCTGCAGGCACCTGTGGAGACACAGAATGGTTTGTTCCTGGGGAAGTGGAAGGGGATTGAGGACGGGGTGGCAGATAGAGGCGGCCTCCATGTAGGAGAAGACCCATTTGTCCAAGCCCAGGATTGTCCTGACAATGTGATGAATGGAAACACCCAGGAAGCCCAGACTCCTTTTAGGCTGGGTCAAGGTCACCACTTCTCCAGAGCTTCCTTCCTCAGCTGCCAAGCAGAGCACTGTATGCTGGAGGGTGCTTGGACAAAAGGGAAACCCCTGGAAACTGCCCAGAGAGCCTGACAGTGTCTAGGTCAAGGTGGACATCCCTGTACCTTATGATCGGGAGAAAAAACCAACCATCCTGTCAACTCAGGCTCCCTTCTATCCACAGCTTGGCTCCAGGCACCAGACATCTGGACCACTTGAGATTCTAATTCATAGGGAACTCAAGTGGCCTAGCCTGTTTGACTCAGTGGATAAAGCTTTCCCTTTGGACCCAAGGGTCTCAGGTTTGATTCACAGTCAAGGGGACAGATCTCAATTGAAGTTTCAATGCCCGGCCTGGGTTTGAGGCATGTGCTGAGGGCAACAAATCATTTCTCTCTCACATTGTATTTCTCTCTCACTCTCACTCTCTAAAAATCAATGGGAAAAAAATTCCTTCTTTGAGGATTTAAAGAATAGGGAGAGAGTAAACCAGAGGAAGATTCTGCAACATCAACTGGGGAGGCCAGTGTGCAGAGGGCACTTCCATCCATACATCACCGCAAACCACTGGTCACTCTGCAATCTTGTCCACTCCAGCTTCTTAGCTGCAGAACCATGCCTGTCCTTTCTATTAATGACCTTCCTGGTACCTAGGACCATCTCTGTCAGATGGGGAATCTGCGAGAGGCTCACGTGTGTTCACATGGCTTGTGGGCACAGAGCTTATGTCTGAAAATGCTCCAACTGATGTGGTATTGCCTCCTCCCAACCCTCTTCCTAAGGCCTCATCACTTAGACCAGCGTTTTTCAACCGCGAGATGTTGTGTGCCGCGAGATGTTGCCTGGTGTGCCGTAGGTGCAGACAGAATTTTATAATTTTTCACTATTTTGTTTACTTAATATTTCATAATAAAGTAATTATAAAATACTTTCTTTGTGTTTATTTGATTCCTATTCAAGAGAATTACTTTATATATAGTCAATATAGGCACAGAGTTAAGTTTTTTAACATTTTCTAATGGTGGTGTGCCTTGTGATTTTTTTCATGAAACAAGTGTGCCTTTGCCCAAAAAAGGTTGAAAAACACTGACTTAGACATCTGTCACTAAGGAAGAATTCACACACCCAGGGTCGCTGAGTCCCTCTTTGATCCAGTACTGTTACCCACCTTGACAGGCTGATTTTAAAACATGCTTCCTTTAGGTGCTCATGGGATACCACCCTTCAAAGCACCTAACAGGACCACTCCCTTAACATTCAGGGACTGTGTCCACTGCTACACAGCTCACCTGAGCATCTGGTCCAAACGACCTCGGAGGAAGGAGGGGGAATTCATGTCGAGCTCTCGGAGATGCTGCAGCCTGAGCATCTGAGACAGGAATTGGGAAAAGGATGCCTGTTCCTCTGCCTCCTCCTGCTCCTCTTGCTCCTCCTGGTCCTCCTGCTCTTCCCTCTGCCACTCCTCTTCCTCATTCCACTCCTGCTCCTCTTCCACTTGCTCCTGCTCTTCCCTCTCTGACTCGTCTTCCTCTCCCATCTCCAGACCCTCTTCCTCCAGTTCTTCCTCCTCTTCTATATTCTCCTCCTCATTTTCATCCTCATTTTCATCCTCATCCTCGTCACTCAAAAGTTGGATGTAGGAGAGAGAGAGTTTCTGCAGGTTCCCCATCTGCCCCATATAAAGAGCAAACGTCCCCAGGGTGGGCAGGTCCCAGATGCAGTTCACTTCCACCTCCTGGATGCAGTCCAGCTGCACCGCATCCAGGACCTGCCTCAGCCTCTGGAAGGGCACCACAGCAATCCTCAGCGTCTTGCAGCACAGGTGTACCAGCCCTTCCCTCTGCTGGGCCCATTGGATGACGTACATGAAAAACTCTTCCCTCTTCCTTTCATTGAAGTTAAGGTCTAGGAACACCTCCACGGGAGCTAAGGGGTGTTCCATGTTGGGGCTGGACCTGTGCACAGCCACTGGTACCATCGATGAGTGCTTCTGGGTGCTGTCTCCACACCACATTCTCCAGAAGTCTGCACCCAGGTTCCTTAAATCCAGCACCCGCAGTTTGCACCTCCTGTGAGGAAAGCAGGACATTAGTCTAGATTCATTCAGGTCTACATGACATTGGCTGACAGTGTGTCTCAGAGCATCTACCTATGAACCAAGAGATCACAGTTCAGTCCCCAGTCATGATATGTGCCTATTGTTGCACATTCAGTGTCGTGTATGTGCGTGTGTGTGTGTGTGTGCATGTGCATGTGTGTGTGTGTGTGTGTGTGTGTGTGTGTGTGTGTGTGTGTGGTATGCAGCAGATCAACGATTATCTCTCATTGAGTTGTCTACCTCTAACTCTCCCTTCCAATTTGAAATCAATTAAAAAGTGTTTTTTTTAAATATATTTTATTGATTTTTATACAGAGAGGAAGGGAGAGAGAGAGTTAGAAACATCAATGAGAGAGAGTCATCGATCAGCTGCCTCTTGCACACCCCCCTCTGGGGATATGCCTGCAACCAAGGTACATGCCCTTGACCGCAATCGAACCAGGGCCCTTCAGTCCCCAAGCCAAGGCTCTATCCATTGAGCCAAACCAGTCCTGGCTAAAAAGTGTTTTTTTAAAAAAGATCCACTGAATGAGGGCAGGTCAGAATGAGACTAAGCATCTGAGTTGAGGCAACAATCAGACTCTACCCCTACCCTGACCTTAACTTTGATTCTCAAGGTCATCATCTCCCTTGCCCTCCTCTTCCCTCTGCTTTGCTCCTCTCCTTCCATCCCTCCTGCTCAGCACTTCGTGTACCTTTAACTACCACTGCGAGGAGGCAGGGCACAGTTTGGAGGTGCCAGTAGGCAGTGCTCCACTCTCCAGTGAGCTCAGCAGGGTGCCAGGGCTCCCTACCCTCACTGGCACCTTCAGAAAACTCGGGTCCCCCTTAGGCCCTCCACATGCCTTGACCCACTTTGTCTCCGGGATGCCCAGGACCCTACCAGGCACCGGGAGCAGCCTTACCTGGGGCGAACCTCCTGGGCAAGCAGAACGTCAAGCCCATCCAACACGGCTTTTAAGACCTTGACCCGAGGCCGTCGCATCAGGCCGCCCAGATGGAGGACCGGGTAGGGCCAGGCTCGGGCCATTGCCTTCAGGGACTCCTGGTGCTGTCTACTGTGGAAGGCCAGGAGGAACAGAGGCGGGAAGAGCTCGGCGGGCAGGTGCTCCAGAGCTGCGATGGCCGAGGCCTGGTCCCTCAGCAGGCGCTTTGCTGCCAGCTCCAGGAGTGTGGGCGGGGTCTGCATGCTCATCTTCAAGGTGCTCAGAAAGGAATTCTGCGGAAAGGAGTAGGGAACAAGACATCCTTGTCAGGCCAATTATTTGCACCCCCATCGTCTGTCTCCCCATCCCTCAAATAAATCAACTCAGGGCCAATGATCTCCCTTATGACCTGTACCCCCAAAGTTCCCATTTCGGTAAGCCTGTCCCTGATTAACACTCTGTTCTTTTTTTTTTTTTTTCAAGCCCAACATAAGCCTTTATTACATAAACCTTCCCTTGGTAACACCGAACATTAATGTTCATGTAACAGTTTTGAACTTGCTGGGGTAAGAGAGAAACCCTGGAATTTTCTATTTTTTAAAAAAATGCTATTTTCTGGCTGTCACATAGTACACAGACCTCCAAGAAGCATATATAAGTATTTATTCACAGCCCCGTTGCGTTAAATGTGTATAATATTTGGGAAGGGTCCAGACATAGTTTTTGCCTAGCTCAGACTCTTGAAATTTGAAATGATCAGGACAACTCCTGTGAAGATAAAGCTCTCAAATTCTGCACAAGGGATCCTAGGTCCCGTGTGCTCCCATGTGGTACTCAGGTAGCAGCCGTCTATGCTTCAAGCATCCATGTTTCTCCACCCAGTTGGCGATACTCATGCCATTTTCGCCAGTTTCTGTACCTGGACAGGGCAGGCAGGATCTAAACCTAAACTGGCACTTCTATGTTGATTGATTTCCTGGTGACATAGGTGGGCTTACAAAAGGCCATTTCCTTTCATAAAAACTCCTTGTTATATTAGAAACTCCCAAAATACAGGTTATGACCAATAATCCCAAATGCTGTTTAACCAATCTCCCCATTTCTCTGCACAGGGACCCAGACCGAGGTCCACTTTGGGGCCTCCTGGGGTTCCGCCTGCAACGTGGCTGAAGGCAGGTCCAGGCACTGCCTTCCATTCAGGGCCTCAGAGGGATCACCTCAGGGTTAAAGCCACTGCCTGGCAATGGGGACAGTCTCAGTTCAGTAAGACCCTTTCTGGGCTCAGTGGCCTCAGAGCCATAGCTCTCCCCTGCAGGCCCCAGGACAAGCATCTCAGAAGCACCCACATCTTTCATTCCAGTCTGACTACGAAGTGGGTACTCAGGGGCCTAAATGCTCATCCCCAACTGATTGGGCAGAAAAGTTTCAGATCAATCTAGGGACACAAACTAAATATTAAAACTGTCCCAGCCAAAACCGGTTTGGCTCAGCAGTAGAGCGTCGGTCTGCGGACTGAAAGGTCCCAGGTTCGATTCCGGTCAAAGGCATGTACCTTGGTTACAGGCACATCCCCGGTAGGGGGTGTGCAAGAGACAGCTGGTCGATGTTTCTCTCTCATTGATGTTTCTAGCTCTCTCTCTCCTTTCCTTTCTGTAAGACAATCAATAAAATATATTTTTTAAAAAAAACTGTCCAAAACTAAAACCCCCTACAGTTAACAGTTAAGATGTTTTCACTGGGGAGGGGGAGCAGGAGACCCTGGGGGTCAGAGAATCAGCTTGTTTAGATATTTAAAAAAGTAAACTGTAGTCCAGATGCAAATGGCAAGAATGGCCACATTTTGGTCCCTATCTCCAGAGCGGTCTTGAGCAGGAAGCTGATCAATTATTGTCTCTCAATGTTGCTGTTTCAATCTCCTTTGCTTTTCTTCTTGAAATCAATTAAATACATTTAAAAAATAAAGGTTGGAAAAAAGGAAGAATATGAAAAGATCTCCGTGCCAGGTCAGGCTTCGTGCCACCATGAGGCTGACTCCTTAGCTGAGGTCGGTAGCTTACCTGCTGGGCTCGGGTTGGCTGGGGCTCAGATCTCAGACCTGGTGGAGAACCAGGGCACTGACTGCAGAGCTGAAGGACTCTGACTCTCCCCTCTGGTGCCTGAGGTTTTTATAGGCCTTCTCAATTGCTAACGTCCAATCAGAACCCCTGGTCTACACCCCGCCCCCAACTTGATTGGATTTTTGCCTTTCTCCATATTAATCGATTAGCCCAGAAATGGGATGGGATTAGGAAATATTAAGTTTGAGAGGGGCAAGGGTGTTGGCTCAGTCATTGATTCCTTCCTCACACACTGACTGAGCTGGAGTGATGGCCTACAAATTGTCATCCTCGGTGTGAGACCGAGAAGGGTGAAATGGGTTCCTGACTTTAGACAGGAAAAAACACAACCTGAGAACATGGCCACCTCAAAGTAATCCTAATTACACACAGTGAAAATGGCCCAGAATGCAATGGGGGCATCCCCAAGGAAGGAAAAATGTGTCCATGCATTTAGTTGTCACTCAGGTATTCTGTCAGGGGACGTAGCAGATCATTAGCTCCTCAGGGAGCAAGGAGTGAGCGACTGAAGATGTGGGTGGCCCTTCAGACCACAAGGCTTCTCTGAGGAAAGGACCATGAGAGGCAGGGGTCAGGGCTGGGCAGGGTGGCGCTGGGCCATCCTAATGGGACCCTGTGAATGACCCAGGGCCATGGAAAAGATTGGGATTTTTCTTGGAAAGAAGAGAGGTGGAAAGACTCTTCTCTGGGTGAATTCAGGATCTAAAAGGAGAAAAGCTGGAGGGAAGACAGTGCCATTCTAGAGGGCAAAAGGAGAGAATTCCATCTCTGTCCCGCACAGGAGGAAAAGGGTGGGTCTGCTCTGGAGAAGATGAGATTAGCTCTGTGAACTGGGTGGAGACAATTGAATGTAAGAATGGGATTAGTGGGAAAGGCGCCCAATCTGGGAGTTACACATTTTCAAGCCTGAAGGGCACAAAAGACACAGTTGTGGGCTCTTTGAGATGTTTGAGACAGGGACAGAAATTATCGTGGGCCGGTAACAGGTAACCCTGTCAACATGACTGCTGCCACCAGTCGACATTTATCAAAGGGAAGAGGTTCTTCCCCAGAGAACTAAGCCCAGGTAGCAAGTGCCTTCCCTCACTACCCCTTGTCTCCATTGTCCCCAATCCTGCCCTCATGGCACCCTTTCACTTCACCACACCCCCAATGACCGCCCTGCTGACAAACAGCCCCTCAAGTCCCCCCTTCAGTAAGCCCATCCCCCACTATCTCTCTGTTCTATTCTTGTCTAACATCACTCTGGCCTGCTGGATGAAAGGCTCGGTGAGGCCAGGGTGTAATCATGGCTCCTTAGGCCATGTGTGTGGAATGAATGTGTGGCTCTTGGTGGTCTGCGGGAGGCCAGTAATGGCCAGCCAACTGCTGTCATGTGGAACTCTTATCCTGCACAGCCTCCATTAGGCCCCCATCTTTCTACTGTCAACCAGGCATAACACAGATATTCCTGAGCATCCAGTGTGTGGGCCAGGCTCTGACTCTGGAGAGTTCTGAGTCAGGAGGGGAAGACAGTGGCACTGATCAGACAGTGTAGGGAGGAGTGAGTGGAGGCACCAGAGGGAGTGCTGATGCCTGGAGTCAGGGGGTGCCCAGGAGGCAGCACAAGCCCAGGCTGCCTCCACTAGGCATCATGGAATTTGTCTGCTGTATGAAATCACTACCAAGCAAACACATGTGGACACATGAACAAAGCACACACTAGACCCAGACGTGCTCTGTGAAAACTGAGCTGGGCTTCTGCTGGCATTTCCTGGAAGGGAGAGGCAGTTTTCACAAGTCTGAGCCAGGCTGCCCACGGACCACCCGGCTTGGGTTCAAATCTCAGCTGGGAGACTCATTCCCAGTGTGATCTCAGACCATTCACTCTCCAAGGTCTGTTTCCTCCTCTGTGAATGGCAGTGACATGGAGAACTCTGCCTTGGGTTCCTATCAGACGTGGTGGTGGCATCGTCACCATCTTCATTTCTGGACCGTTCCTCCTCCTTTCTTGGGGGCCATTGCTATTTCTGTGGCTGGAACAGTCCTGTCAATTCCTCTCTGGGATCCATTGTTGCAGAAATCCACATAGGCTTAGAGTTTTTTGGAAATATACAAATACATTCTCAACCAAAGATTAATGAAGAAATCTTTTCTATAAGTGTGACTTGGGATCCTTTTTTGTTTTTTGCCCAAACAATTTACCTTTGGCTTATTTTGATACCGTGTGATTTTTTTTTTTTTTTATGTTTGTCTTGCTATTAGCATTACAAATGAAAAATCATTTTTTTCCCACAACATTTTATTTATTTATTTTTTTAACATTCATATATTTTATTTTATTTATTTATTTATTTATTTTTACATATTTTATTAATTTTTCCCCCCTCCCTCCCACACATCCCCTCCCTCCCCTGAAAAATCATTTTCAAGGTGCCTCGTTAGCACAGTAGGTAGTGCATCAATCTCATAATCTGAAAAGTCATTTTCAAAGTAAACATTTCTGAATGTAATTTATCTACAGGATATTACTCTTCCATCCCCCCACCCCTTTTAAATTTAAATATCAGAACACTTTTGGCAATTTTACAATGCAGTCTTGATAACTTTTAATTTTAATATTTTGCATAAAAATATGAGTAACAACATAAACTTTGTCAGGGAGGCAAAAACCCAAATTACTTACTTCAGTTTATGAGACAAATATATGGACTTCTAATTACAGTTCTTCAGATATTTGAAGAAAGCTTTTCCTCTATTTCCTTCCAGAACAATTCTCAGGCTTCAGAGTTTCACTGAAGAAGGTTTATCTTCCTTTGCAGCAAACAGGATATAGCCTAGTTGCTTGAGCTAGCTATATTGCAAGTCCCTTTACAGTAAGGGTGACTACTATTTTACTGTCAGATTTAATACTTTAGCAATCTTCCATTTACATTGCAAATACTCAGGGAAGAGATTTCAAATTTTTCACATTTTTTCTTTCTATTATATTTAGAATTATATTTTCAAAGAGTACAATCTTTGGCTTACTTGCAAATACAGAGGAATCATGGGAAGTCTCAGTGACTAGTTTAGAGGACTTTATCAGGGGTTGGCCTTTGTTGTTTCAAGATGGGGGCCCCCAGGGAGTGGCAAGCCATGGGGCCAATAAGATGGCTGCCAAGTCAGACAGTCCAATATGGTGGCCGTCAAAAGTGTTTTTGACAGAAAAGATGGTTTGTTTATTGTCACAATAAACAAGGAAAGAGCAAACCAAAAAGACACTCAAAAAAAATTTTTTTTAATTTTTTTTAATCAATCTTTATTGTTCATATTATTACAAAGGTTCCTCATTTCTTCCCCCTTCCACCAGGTTTCCACCCCACCCTCCGCCCCCTCCCCACCCCCCATTGTCCTCATCCATAGGTGCACAGTTTATGTTCAGTCTCTTCCTCCCTTCCTCCCCCCCCCCCCCCCCCCCAGAACAGTCAGTCCACTCCTCTCCCATATGGCTGACTCTACTACAATGAACCGCTATTATTGTTCATCAGGTTTTTCAATCTCCTTTTTTTGTTGTTGTTGTTTTTTTTTGTTTTGTTTTTTAATTAATAAACTTTTACACTTCTAAGAATAAATTTTAAAATCTAATAATTTTAAACCTTTTTTTTTTTTTCTGCCCTGGGAATTGAGAGCAAACTTGTTTACATGTAAACTTGCCCTTAGGCTATCAAAAGGTGTAGCCATTCAAGTGTAAATGGACACATTGTTTAAACATAGCTGCTGGTTGGAATTGGATTACCTGTTCTGGGTGGGAAGGGCTTGTCATTCCCTTTCTCCATTAAAATTAAAGTGTTAGCTTTAAAATCTCTTTTTGGCAAGAGACCTTAAACTTTCAGAACTTTAAATTTTTCAGATAGTAAATCAGTTACTTAGCATTTTCTCAAATCAATAATACCTCCACATGCCCAAGGATACACTTCACACAAAAGACATTTCCAAATAGATCAATCAACCTCATCCAGGCCCCACACAAGGCACTCACAGATCAACACCCCAGCGTTATACTAACTCAACACATCCAGATCTAAGCCTTCCTCATTTGATTTAGCAGACCCTCAAGTTCCCCCAAAAGTTTCCAGCCATGTCTGAGAGGCAGCCTTGGGGCAGAGGCAGGCGAGAAGCGAGCTGTTCCGGGCCTGGCCTCTGTTGCTCTGGTCCGTTCTACAACCAGCTGCTCCGGGTCTGGCCACTGCCACTCCCGACCTGGCTGCTCTGGGAGTGGCTGCTGCTGCTCCGGGCCTGGCCGCACCCGACCCGGCTGCTCCAGGCCTGGCAGCTCCCAACCTCACTGCCCTGGGCCCGGCCGCTCCGAGCCTGGCAGCTCCCAGCCTGGATGCTCCGGGCTTGGCTGCTGTTGTACTAGGTCTGGCTGCTCCCGACCCGGCTGCTCTAGGCCCGGCTTCTCCGGGCCCGGCCACTTCAGGCTTGGATGTTCCTGGACTGGCCACGCTGGGCTTGGCCGTCTCCGCCTCAGGCCTGGCTGCCACTGCCCCAGGTCTGGCTGCTCCTTTTCTGGGGCCTGGCTGCTGCTGCTCCAGGCCCAGCTGCCACTGCCTTGTGCCTGGCCACTCTAGGCCTGGCTGCCACCGTTCCAACATTCTGTCCTTTTTTTTAAAAAAACACATTTATGTTACAATGTTGGCTGCTGAGTTGAGTTCTGACTTAGTCTTCGATTTTTCAAGATCTTCTTTGTATTCTTTCTTAAGTAATTTTACTATCTTTTGCTCTCACTTGATTTCTTCACATTGAAAACTTCTTCGGTTCCTTCCAAGACACTCAAAATTACATTGCAAACAAACAGAAATCTCACTTGCTTTTTCTGGTGGCTTTATTAGAGTTTAATTGTTTATAAAAACATTGCCTTTTCATTTAGATGAAATTATATGAAACCTTGATTATAAATTAAAAAGATAATTTATTAAGTAATTGAAGAAGGTATCTTTGATTGGAAAGGCAAAGCAAATTTAGTAAATGTTTACAACTGATTCACAAGGCATAAAGGTCACTCCAGCTCCAACCTAATTAAAAATGCAGGTGGCTAAAGGTTCTTGTCTTTTAAATTTCCTCTTGAAATTTTGCTGTTGGTTTTAAGAAATATTTTGCCCTCCTTAGAGGCCAAAACCTTCATAACATTTTAGATAAAATATACTTATTAATTTGTATTTGATAAAGCTTTCCATGCAATTTCAAGTATTTAAGATAAGTTAAATTTCAAAAATATTTCCTTAAAAGAGAGAACTAATTCTTGAAAACATTTCAGGGCCTGTGAAATGTCCTTAAATTATCCCTTGGTTATAGTTTTGAAATTTTAACTTAGGAAAAAAAACCCCATAAAAATATATAAATGATTTAAAGATTATAATACTTTTTATAATTATCTTAAGATATCAATTAAATTTAAACTGATTTTAGTATTAAAAATGTCAGTTGGGAATCACAGAATTAATCCTTCTTATTTAATTAGACTAATTAGTAACATATGTTGAATTCTTAATTAATAGAGAAAACACAAACATTTTATGTTCAAAAAAAATTTTAATACTTCAGGCATTTAATTATCACAATTATATTGAAAGGTGAAATAGAGAAGGAACCGGAGACCAGGATGCCAGGGCATAGCTTTATTGAAGAGAAGAGTACCACTACCAGCTGCTTCCAGAGAGAGGGGCAGAAGAGAATGAGGGCCAGGGTACAAGCACCTTTAAGGATAGGGGGCGGGGCTTAGGGCACTCAGCACATGCTGACTGGTGATTAGGGACCTAGGGACTTAGGAATCTGGGGCTTAGGATATTTGGCAGATGCTGATTGGTGGTTCAGTGCTCAGGAATGTCTAGCCACAGGTGGGATTTATGTCTGTCCATCAGCTGGAGGAAGGAAGGATCTATCATATATAATTTCTCTTAATTTGAATTGAAATTTGAACTTTTAGAGCTGGCAAGTCAAATATTTAGCATTTCTAGATTAGTATTACCTTTATAATTTTAAGAATAAATTTCAAAAATACAATCAGTGAATAGCTTTAATTCTGTCCTCTAAATTTTTCCTAAAGAAGCAAACTTCCAGAATTTTAAGCTGCCAAAACTACATGTCTGGATGGCAAAACAGGTTGGGTCTTTTCTTTTTCTTTTTTAAAAAAATATATTTTATTGATTTTTTTACAGAGAGGAAGGGAGAGAAATAGAGAGCTAGAAACGTCGATGAGAGAGAAACATCGACCAGCTGCCTCCTGCACACCCCCTACTGAGGATGTGCCCACAACCAAGGTAGATGCCCTTGACTGGAATCGAACCTGGGACCTTTCAGTCTGCAGACCTATGCTCTACCACTGAACAAAACCGGCTTTGGCAGGTTTGGTCTTTTCTAATGTAAATTACCACATTCTTTAAAGATGGCTACTTGTAGGAAGCTGATTTCAAACTAGTCACATTTTTTCTTGAAGAGTTTGCTGCAGCTGGAAAAACTGTTTTTGGCTAGCAAAACAAGTTTTGGCCTAGCCAACTGACTTTTTAAAAGGAATATAATTTTCTTCTGCTGGGGAAGTTGAAGCTATTCAAATGTAAAATTTGTCACATTCCTTCAAGATGGCTATTGGCAGGAAACTGGCCTACCAGCACCTTCCTCCATTAGCAACCTTTCTGGGCTACTTAGATCTTTATAGTTAGAGGCCCGTTGCACAAATTTGTGCATGGGTGGGGTCCCTCAGCTTGGCCTGCGATAAGGCCAATTGGGCCATCTCACTCGACCCTATGGGGCAATCATGCCCGGCTGGCCAGGGGGAAGGACTGTAGGAGGTTGGCTTTGGGAGTGCACTGAACACCAAGGGGAAGCTCCTGCATTGAGCATCTGAACCCTGGTGGTCAGTGCACATCATAGCAATCAATCATAACTGTCGCTTAGACTTTTATATATATATAGATACATTATTTATCTATATTTCAACAATTTCTTTGAGAAAGTCAGCATCTCCCTTGGCCCCTGCTTCGCTTATCTCCTTCCATCCCTCCTGCTCGGCACTTCGTGTACCTTTAACACCACTGGGAGGAGGCGGGGCACATTTTGGAGGTGTCTCTGCCCAGTGCCACACCCCAGTGAGCTCAGCAGTGTGCCAGGGCTCCCTAACCTCACTGGCTCCTTCAAAAAACTTGGGTCCCCTTTAGGCCCAACTTTTGGACCTCATGGACCACCAGTTGGCAACCACTGAACGTGATGGTGCTAAAGTTTGACGAAGTAGCTGGTAAAGGCATTCTGGGTGGGAATGGACCAGGTTAGTTTTGATTCAGCACACGAGTAAGGAGATCTTACAGTGCAGCTGGGCTTCCTCCAGTCTCTTGGGGGCTCAAGTGGAATAGAAAGAGAAAAGAAGGAAGAACTCTCTTCGTTGGTTTTAGCTGATGGTGAACATAGACTTCTGGTTGTCAGGGCATCAACCTCCTTGGTGTGCACCAGCTGCTCTTTGTTCTCAGGCCTATGGGCTCAGACTGGGGTTTCCGATATGGGCCCCCTGGTTCTCAAGCCTAACTTGGACTTGGCCTCAGTTATACCATTGGCTTTGTAGGTTCTCCAGCTTGCAGAGGGCAGGCATTGGGACTGAAGGCTGGAGCCCATCCTTATAAATCTCCTACCTGCGTCCATGTGTCCCTGTTGGCTATTTCGGGGCACACTACCTAATACAGCGACTGAGCACAGGGAAGAAGTTCACTCACTTGTGCAGTTTGTCTGCACCGTTTTTGACAGGCTGGTTTCAGAACATGCTCTCTAGTCTACCTCCATAGAGAGGCGGGAGGTGTAATGGGCATAAGCCAACCCCCATGGATATGACCTGCCCTCGCCCCTTCCCAGGTTATATTTTGTGTGGTGTAGGAATCCTCAGGAAAAGTATTTTGCTCAAAGGAATTTGGATGATATTCCTGGCCATCAGCAGGTTATTTCCTCTGCACCAGGTTGACAGGCATAGGCTGGATGGCTCAGGGGCTTGGTGCCTCTGCATGTGGATTAGCCCTTCGGGAACTGAGGGCCATGCCTTGTCCCTGAACCCCTCCTGGCACGAGTCCTGAGATTTGTGAGTCCACCTGCAGAACCATAGGGAACACTGGCACCCAGGGTCAGAGCCAGCAGAGAGGTCCCCTTCACCTCAGGGGTTGGTGGGCCACCTAGCAAGTCCCATTGTATCCACCCACAAGGAGGTCAGAGATGCCCAGAGAGAAGACAAGGCCTGGAGGGAGGGATAACATGGAGCTGAGCCCTGTAGCAGAACTGCAAGCAAGCAGTTTCAGGTTCTGATCCTGAGCCCTCCCCACCTTTTTTTTTAATAAGTAACTGCAGGGTCCTGAGGTGTAAAATGGAGGGACAGGTGAACACATGCAAGAGGACGAGAAGGTTGCCTTTGAAATTCTTTATTTCTGATCATTGGTTTACAATAAACCACCGCAGGATTCACTCCCTCACAAGAAGCTCAAGCCCAAATTCTGACCCCCTCCCCAAGCAAATCACATTCATGTTTCTGATTCTAGGACCTTACCCCTGAGGTCCCATGAATTCCCCAACATTTGTCCTGGTCATTGTGGACCGGTGCTGGGTCCCTTCCTTTCCCCATTCACAGTGAGCATGAACCTGAAACCTGTATAATGCACCCCGGTTCTATATTAGAGCGTCCAAGGGCCTAGAACAAAGCTTTTGCTGAGTGTTCCCACTGAAGAGAGTCATTATAGGGACACAGCTCGACTACAAGTTATAAAAACTCAACGTCATAAAATTTACTGTTGCCACATTGACCACAGTAATTGGTGCAAAGAGAGATGATCCTGGGCTGTCCTAACTCCCTCAGAATCCTCTTTAGCTCAGCCCGGACCAGGGCAAGTCTGTCCTTCTTGACAGTCCCCTGGGTCGTGTAACACTCCAGGGGGACGGGGTACAGCTCCAGCACTAAGCTGCGCAGCCCGGCTGTGTGGTGCAGCAGCTTCTCTACGGTGGCCAAGGAGAAGTTGTTCTCAGAGATGGTGAACTCCCTGAGCTGGTGGCAGCGGCTCAGGACAGGCAGGATGGCCTCAACTTGGGAGTCCACCATCTCACAGTTGTCTAAGCCCAGGTCCTGGAGGGTGGGTGCCACAGCCTCCAGCAGAGCTCGGAGGGGCTCTGGCTTAAAATGTTTGAGGCTGAGAGCAAACAGATGCAGAGTCTTCAGCTGCCTTATTTTTGGGCACTGGAACAGGTGTATCAGGTCTGAATGCATCAAATGCTGGCAATTTGTTATGGAGACTCTGTCCAAGGGGATCTGCAGGCACCTGGGGAGAGAAAGAGCCTTTAGTTCTGAGGATGGGGGTATCTGGTAGAGGGGTTCCTCCAGGGGCAGAAGATGGATTTGTCCAAGCCAAGGGTTGTCCTGACAATCTGATGAAGGGCGATACCCCAGACTCCCAGCCTCCTTTTAGGCTGGGTCAAGATCCCGACATCCCCTGAGCTTCATTGCATCAGCTGCCAAGCAGAGCATTGCACTCTGGAGGGTGACTGTACATATGAAAAACCCTGGGAACATACTCAGAGTGCCTGACAATGTCTAGGTCAAGGTGGGCATGCCTGCACCAAGGGCGCTGTCAACTCAGGCTTCCTTCTGACCACTGCTTGTCTCTAGGCACCAGATATCTAGGCCACACGAGGCACGCTCATGTAAGACGTAAAGAACACACATTGTACTAACTGGTATGACTCAGTGGATAGAGTGTTGGCCTTTAGATTGACTTGTCTCACATTTGAATATCACTCAAGCACATGCACCTCATTTGCAGGCTAAACCCTTGGCCTTGATTGGGGCATGAAGAGAAGGCAACCAATCCATGGGTCACTCTCACATAAATGTTTCTTTCTCTCTCTCTCTCTCTCTCTCTCTCTCTCTTTCTCTCTCTCTCTCTCTCTCTCTCTCTCTCTCTCTCTCTCTATATATATATATATATATATATATATATATATCCCTTCCTCTTTCTTCAACTCTCTAAAACTCAATGGGAAAAATATCCTCAGGTAAGGACAAAGAGAGAGAGAGGGAGGGAGAGAGAGAGAGAGAGAGAGAGAGAGAGAGAGAGAGAGAGAGAGAGAGCGAGCAGACCTGGGCAAGATCCTACAGCAACATCTGGGAAGGCGTCTGCAGAGGTAACTTACATCCCTGTGCCACTGCAACCACCTCTCACTCTTTGCAATCCTTTCCACTCCCGCTCTTTTGCTGCAGAATCATGCCTGTCCTTTCTACTAATGACCTTCCCTGGGGCCCAGGACCACCTGACAGCTGGGGAATCTGACACAGGCTCACGTGTGTTCACAATGGCTGGAGGGCACAGAGCTTATGTCTGGAATTGACCCATCCGATGTGACTTTGCCTCCTCCCTCCCTCTCCCTAAGTCCTCAGCACTTAGACATCTCTCCCTAAGAAAGAATTCACACATCCAGGCTCGGTGGGTTCCCCATTGTGCCAATTCTGTTGCCCACCCCGACAGGCTGATTTTAAAACATGCTTTCTTTAGGTGCTCATGGGATACCACCCTCAAAGCACCTAACAAGACCACTTCTTTTACATTCTAAGACTGTGACCACTGCTACACAGCTCACCTGAGCATCTGGTCCAGACGGCCTAGGAGGAAGCAGGGAGAATCCATGTGGAGCTCTCTGAGGTGCTGCAGCCTGAGTATCTGAGACAGGAATTGGTGAAAAGATTGCTGTTCCTCTCTCTCCCACTCTGATTCCTCTTGCTCCTCTTCCTCCTGTTCCTCTTCTTCATCGTCCTCCTCCCCTGCAAACATGTGGATGTAGGAGAGAGAGAGTCTCTGCAGGTTCCTCATCTGCCCCAGGTAAAAAGCAAACGTCCCCAGGGTGGGCAGGTCCCAGGTGCACTTCACTTCCACCTCCTGGATGCAGTCCAGCTGCACCGCATCCAGGACCTCAATCACCCTCAGGAAGGGCACCGCAGCAATCCTCAGCATCTTGCAACACAGGTGTACCAGCCCTTTCCTCTGCTTGGCCCATTGGATGATGTACATGAAAAATTTATCCCTGTCCTTTTCATTGAAGTTCAGGTCTAGGAACACCTCCACGGGAGCTAAGGGGTGCTCCATGTTGGGGCTGGACCTGTGCACAGCCACTGGTCCTGTCAGTGATCGCTTCTGGGTGCTGTCTCCCAACCACATTCTCCAGAAGTCTGCACCCAGGTTCCTTAAATCCAGCACCCGCAGTTTGCACCTCCTGTGGGGAAAGCAGGACATTAGTGAGATTCTTTAATGTTAACAGAGCATTGGCTAAGATCCTTTATGGACAGTGTGTCTCAGTGATTGAGCATATACCTATGAACCAGGAGATCATGATTTGCTTCCCAATCAGGGCACATGCCTGTGTTGCAGGCTCAATGCCCAGAGCAGAGGGGAAGTATTTGCAGGAGACAGGCCATCAGTAACTCTCACTCATCATTGGTGTTTCTATCTCTATCTCTCCCTGCCTCTCTGAAATCAAGAACAAAAAATGTTTAAAAAAAAAATAACGACAGAGGCCTAGCTGGTTTGGCTCAAGGGACAGAGCTTCAGCCTGTGGACTAAAGGGTCCCAGGTCCCATTCCAGCCAAGGGCACATATGCTAGTTGCAGGATCAATCCCTCCAGTAGGGGGCATGCAGGAAGTAGCCAATTAATGATTCTCTCTCAGCATAGATGTTTCTTTCTCTCTATCCCTCTCTCTTCCACTCTGAAATAAATAAAAATATATTTTTGAAAAATAACAACAGAATGAAAGCAGGGAAGAATGAGACTGAGCATCTGGGTTGAGGCAACAATCAGACTGCACCCCAACCATAAGCTTCTACTTAGAATCCCAAGGTCAACTTCGCCCTTACCCTCCTCTTCCCTCTGCTTTGCTTTGCTCATCTCTTTCCATCACTCCTGCTCCACACTTCTACTTTCAAATACCACTGGGAGGAGGCAGTGCACATTTTGCAGATGACTCTCCCAGTTGGGAGTCCTCCAGTTCCCATGGTGAGCTCAGCAGTGTGCCAGGGTTCCCTGAGCCTCACTGGCACCATTTGAAACCTTGGGACCCCCTTAGACCCTCCACATGCCCTGATGCCCACTGTCTCCAGGATGGCCAGGACCCTACCAGGCACCTGGAGCAGCCTCACCTGGGGCGAACTTCCTGGGCAAGCAGAAGGTCAAGCCCATCCAACACGGCTTTGAAGACCTCGTCCAGTGACAGGTGTGGCAGACCGCCCAGAGGGAGGACAGTGAAGGGCCAGGCTTGTGACATCGCCTTCAGGACCTGGAGACGTCTACTTCGGTAGGCCTGAATGAACAGCTGCGGGAAGAGCTCAGCGGGCAGGTGCTCCAGAGCTGCGATGGCCGAGGCCTGGTCCCTCAGCAGGCTCTCTGCTGCCAGCTGCAGGAGTGTGGGTGGGCTCCTGATGCTCATCCTCAAGGTGCTCCAAAGGAATCCTGTGGGAAAGTTCAGGGAACAAGGCGGCCTTGTCAGGCCAAGCCTTTGAGCCCCATCCTCTGACTCCCCATTTTCACAGGAATCAACTCAGGGCCAAAGCCACTGCCTGGCAATGGTGAGAGCCTCTGTTTAGAGTCCCATTCTGGGATAGATGACCACAGATGCATACCCGTG